GTATTGCGTTATTCCCAGCGATGAACACGTGATTGAAAACCTGTCGCGACTACGGGTGCGGCCGAAGACAGTGAACAACGAGTCCATAGGTTTAGGCATTAATCGGGACTCAAATGTTGGCCACAAAAATGAAAACAATATGAATAAATGTGATGTCAGTGTTTATAGTGAGGACATGGAGTTTGATAGTAGTGTCGGCACTAATAGTGAGATTAATAGCGATTCACTGCCGGCACCGGAACCCCAATCACCAACACATCCATTGCCGCCAAAATTAGCCCAAAATAACGGCAAATGGTTTAACGTCGGGAACGGTATTCATAAAATGATGAACACCTGTAGTCCAGTCAGTGTTTGTCCACCAGTGGTAGTGCCAAATGGACATTCATCGCCCGCACCCACTCAACCAATTAAACAAATAGTGTCTACACCTATACCCTCGCCATTAACGCCGGGCTCTCACCCCTCGGCGCCCATCAATTATCTGGACGTTGAACCTAATCCGACAGGTTTTACCACAACCGCCAGTTCCCCACACATGCCATACATTACATACACTGCATGTGTGGGCACAGTATGGGTGACGGGTATGTCATTTCTGTTAGCCGATCATCGGGCGGTCATACGGTTATCAATGATATTTAAAGCAAACACCGGTGCCATTGATCCGAACGCTATCGTCATTGAAATGACCAAAAATGGTTTTAATCGCTGGAATTACAGCAAATGTTTGAATTACTTATACAATGCGTTAAAATTGTATAAAAAGGTATTTTTGGATTGTTTGTAAATTTATCATCATGTTTATTTGGTTGTAATTAAGTTGTAATTAACTTTTATGTTTATGATCAGTGTTTGGCGAACTGTCCGAACCGGGAGACGGCGGACAGGGTTTACCCCCTGTTCAACACAATGCACTCATTTGTACCCTATTTTCTCATGACTGACAAAGAGTTGGCGCAACTCAACGAATCAAAGCGATTGTTTGACGAGAAGTGCGGCCAATGTTGTGGCACTACCTGTGCAACAGTCAACGCTGACACCCATACGGTAGCCCCTGTAGACCCGCCGGGCAGTAGTGAACAGAACCCGATTGACTACTTAGGACTACCGGTAACTGGAAAACAGTTTACGGTAAACACCAGTTCCCCGCACTTGCCTTACGTGACGGCTATGGTTAAGGTTAGAGGCCTATGGTATAGGACCGGACAGTTTCCCAACGCCTATCAGTTGGCCCTCAACCGACTGTTACAACTGGTGGACAAACACCGGCCCACCGATGGTAGGCCTATGACTGAGGACGAGTGGGAACGAGTGGCCGCACACATGCCTCGTATCAGGGATTGCAATAAACTCGATGTAGTGTTTGACTCAAAACTGTGCCAAAACTATGTGCTAAACGCTCTGGACTTATATAAAAAGGTTAAATATTAATGTTGTATTAATTGACCATCATTAATGTTTTGTTGTTTATTATTTTTTTGTGTGTGTGCAGACACTAGATGTGTGCCCAAACATGGATAGGGCCGGCATAGCGTTTCCCATGTTTAACGCCCTTTACGTGTTTAGCCCGGAGCGTGTGGTGTCGGACGCCGAGTGCCGCGACATTAAGCGTTTGCGGCAATTATTTGGGCGCACATGTATGACAGCTCCCTATTTAGTTGACCAGCCCCTACAAGCGGTTGATATATTAGGTGAAATGCCATCTAATTCTGGCCCTAAACAACCGCGATGCAGCAAAATTGCTGAACTACGTGACTTAAATGCAAGGTGTGTGAAAATCACCCGGGACTATGTGGACGCATTTAACCATCTGTGTCACTGTGTGGGCCAAACGGTCGTAACGGTGGGCCCGTTTACCATAGATAACCAAGAGTTGTTTTGGTCGCACGTATCGCAACAAATGCTGGACTCAAATACTGATTACAGATTATACAGTAACTCCATATGTCGTCAGATGTTTAGCGATCACGTGACCAAATATTATAAAATTGTAAGTGAGTGAGAGAGAGAGAGAGAGAGAGAGAGAGAGAGAGAGAGAGAGAGAGAGAGA